AGGAACAATTGATTTGCACCTCCCCTCTTATACCGGCTACTATGAAAAAAAGGAATCACAAAAAAGTGTGATAACAATGGTCACATATGACTGAGAAGGTGGATCTCTACCCTTCCCTGTTTAACTCTTTAATTGCCTTTGTAAGCTTTTTTTGTTATACTCATGACGATTACATATTGTCATCTCACTTTTCAAAATGTTTTAGAATAGTGGTGCAAGACCACCTTCTTTAGATGACATTAGAGAATGAGACAGAAAGAAAAGCCCCTCACATCTTTCTTTGAAGGTCCAACCACAGAAATGCTTAAGTTTCCATCCACAGTTGTTTGTTAGTGATGACTGTGACTTTGTGTTTGCCTCAGTGTGCAAACAATGCTCTGCAAAGAAATATAAGGAAGACATTGCAAAGGTAGATAAAAAGCTTCTCAAGAGACCTTTCGTCTTCCTTTGTTTCGTGCAAAACAAAGATCACTAGCGTTAGCTGAAACTGAAGAGCTGAAGCAGTTTAGTACCACTGTTTTGAGACAACAATTGCATCGTCAGACTAACATTTATCCTAATTAGACCATTACAGAAAGTGTTCTGGTCTGTGTTTGTTTATATACTTTTTAATCTGCTTTTTGTATCAGAATGTAGTAAAATCACTCTAAGCACACAGAACTGACATCTCAGTTTAAGAAAAATAAACAAATAAATCAACTTCTCAATGCTAATTGACTTAATTGAGAATGAATTTTAACTGAGAATAAATTCTATGCCGAACTTTAAAAAAAGAATTTCATGACATACCAGTTGATATGATTGATACGATTTTTTGAAATATAAATATTTATAAATAAATAAAACATGCTAATTAGATGCAACCACATCCTACATAAGGAGCTTAAGAAGATGTCCACCACTTGCAAGGTAAGTAGCATGGTGCTAGGTAGTGGACATCTTGCTTTGATTAAGTTTTATTGATTCCATGACTTTTTCAACCTGTTGCTGAAAACTTAAATACTGTAAATACTGTAAAAACAACAACAACAACAACAACAAACTATTACAGTATAAGAAATAACTACTATTGATACTACACTGAGGTAAAAATCTTCTTGCATGCCGTATACAACCCTGACATTCCTCTGCACCTCTGCAGTGGCAGTCAAGCAAGGGCATCTGCTCATAGGGATGGTGATCATAAAACTTCCACCTCCAAGCACTGAAGAACTCCTCTATAGGATTCAAAAATGGGGAATATGCTGGGAGGAGCTGCATCATCAAACAAGGGTGCACTGCAAACCACTCTTTTACAAGGTGAGAGTGGTGGAAAGCCCCATTATCCCAGATAATGACAAAGAGCCTCAACAGCTTTCTCTCCTCAGGTGTGATTGGCCTCTCATGAAGTGCATTCGGGAATGTCATGAGGCGTTATGTGTTTTATGGGCCAATAGTGGGGATATGGCATCGGACAACCTCATTGGAGATGGCAGCACACATGGTTAGATTGGCACCCCTCTGTCCTGGAACTGTGAAAGTAGCCCTGTACCCAATGAGGTCCCTTCCATGTTTCCTCACTTTGCAGAGACTGAACATAAATGAAGACATGATGTGCCCCCGCAGCTTCAAGCAAAATTACAATGAAGGGGGCTCCAGTTGACTTTAACTGCATAATGTGACAAGGCATTATTACAGTATAGTGGAGTTTCCTTACCTCCACCTATTGGCATCTGGCCTTCTTCAAAACACCACAGTTCCTTTGAAATTGAACTCTGTAGAGCTGCTTCGTGGCCATAAGGTTGTGTCTTAGGATGTGGTCAGTGGTGGTCAGGCTCACGTTGTTGATGTTCCTTAATATGCCCTGAACTGCGATCACTGCTGCCCTGACTTTACGCAGTCGTTTGGTATTGTTTGCCACAACCATTTTCACAATGGCTGCCTCCTGTTCAGCACTGAAAATTCCCCTCTACCACCTCTATTCTATAAAGAGTACTTTTAATGTGAATTTGGAATTTGGAAAACAATTACATAAAGTATATCACTGAAGATATTTCTGTATATACTGTACAGCAACATTACCTGTTCTCTAATGGATGCAAAAGTGTTTCTGTTTAGAACAGGTTGTACTCTTTGTGTTAGGATGCCTGGGTCGTTGACCCAGGGTTTTTGAGTTTATTATATTATTTATACTGTCTAGTTTTTGGTTTCTTTGAGTTCTGTCTTATGGCTTA